GTACTGTATATTATTCCCAATTCATGTTTGCATGATTATGACCAGATTGCCATCAACACCACACCATCAACAGAAGTACCAGCGAAAAGCAACAGGATGAGAGTGTGAGAATGATGTGTAGTAAGTGACTCAGCGTTCACAATGTAACTGATCAGCTTGCTCTGTCTGCCCATCACCCTGAGTGCAACAAGGCCCAGTTGTTGGTGTACTTCGGCAATTTTTGGTTATGCTTTCTGGTCTTAGTGTCTGTTGCAGAACAATGTTCAAAAATGTCAATCAGTTCCACGTCTTTTCAGTCTAATCTCCTTGAATGATTTTTTGTGATTTAATCTGAAAGGATTCAATTATTCAAATTATTTTAATGTCTGTATGATTTACAGTTCAGTTCTGGTTGCCCTAGACTAAACATTTCCAAAGCCTGCAGTATATTTTCCTGTGACCAGCATAGACTGTCCCATTGAACTTTTTATCTGGCTCTGCATGGAAGTGATAAAAATCACTGAAATTCCCCAACCGGACAGAGCTTTATACAGTGATAAAATAAAACAGTGTCAAAATTAAAAGACATTTAACAACTTATTTAACTTAAGTGTCTGAAATGCAGCATTCAAGTTTCCCATTTAAAGAACCTGCACTTAGCTCTGTGTTCCAGTAACAAATGAGAAATACTGAAGTGTATCCCAAAAGGTCAGCGTTATGTTTCACATTAACTTGCATTATTTGTGTTTAGATATTGTATTTGGCTTATTTGTGCAACTGGGCAGTGCAAGGACTGAACAGTGAGAGGTCACAGCTGTGGATATTGCATCTCTGATGCTAACTAAACAGAATTCTGAAAGTCTTGTTCAAGCCACTGTCTAATGCAATGCTTGGAGATTTAACATTAACCCAAAAAAGAAAATTTCTAAAGAACAAGGAAGTGGCTGATCTAAGAAATTTGCATACATAAACATTTTTAAAGAATGCTGTTAATAATTAATATTGTCTAATAATCAATTAGAGTTACATGCTTATTAATGTTTTAAGATGAAATGCAACAATGTGGCTTCGTAATTGTGGTGAAAGCTTATAATTTCCTTGCCATAAGTTAACATTGGAATCCTGGAATGCTACCTCTTAAAAAGTTCCACTTAATAGGAGCTGGGTTGTGTAATGATACATGGGCAGTGATCTGTCAGCAGGAGGTTTGTTAGGCTGCTGAGCTAACACAAGCCTACAAAAAACACAGACATCTTTACTGTGCCTCGGAAGGTACACAGCTCGATTCCCCTGGTGTGATTTTACAAGACTGCCTGTCTGGATACTACCTGTTTGGTTGAGGAGAGCAGCAGCAGCACCTGAATATTCCACCTCTCATTTACTTGACAGCTCTTCGTATCGGGCATTTTCATTAAAAACAATTTTGAAACCTAATTAAAGCACTTGCCACCACCCTGTTCTGACATGCATCAATGCTAGAGAAGTGTGTTTGGCAGGGGATGTTAAAGCTGTCTCGGTCACCTTACTCCAACTGTCCCTCAGTGAGTTTTATCTTGCTTGCCCCTTAGGCCAGAGAATGCAGGTTCAGACCTGGGCTGTCGCTGGCAAGCTGTGAGGTGACAGGTGTTGGCCATGTCCCACTGCAGCTCGGTGGGTAAAGAACAGGCTTGGGCTCTGGGGAGGGGCCAGTGGTGTCAGACAGACAATTATTGGCTCCTCCAGCCATGGTCCAGACCTCCACAAGCCATGTGAGTGAAGGTCTGATTTATTGCAGACGGATGGAAAAGAAAAGGCATAGGCTGTGTCCCTCAGACCTCCAAAAACTGGGAAACACGATCGTGGTCTTGGACCCTCTCAACTTTCATCCAGTCCCATCCGATCCTTGTGTGAGCCCTAGTACCAGCTTGTGGGGGGACCTCTCTCTCACCAAAGGCCTGTGAGAGGATGAGAGAGGTTGGTCTAAGGGAATGGTCATTAATGCTGTCTAATGTGAAGCATTATTTAGTGGTGTGCTATAAACGCACATTCTGGGAGTGGCCTACAAATCTCTACAGGGACGATAATTGAACAGGTGAGGCATGTCGCTGTAATCAAGCCAAAGAACATGTTGCCCAGCAGGGCTTTGTTCTAGTAATATGAATGCAACTTCACGCTGTGTTTAAGGTTCCTTGTTTCACTGCACAGAGGTGCTGGAGGTTTTTTGACACTTTAGATATGACACAGCAAAATTCTCAAATAAGAAGCCATTCTAAGTATCTACTGTAGACTGCTTATTGTTAAAAAACTTGAGTTGGTAAAACTCAGAGAAGAGTCTAATGTTTATAATGTTATGTATATCATTTTGTCAAAGTCAAACCTTTAACCCTTTTCCTCCTATACTGTACATTGACCCTGAGAACAGCACCAGTGAGTTGACACTGCGCACACATTGTTACTAGCGCTACGAGAAAAAAAAAGTCAATTACAAGTTTGAGGTTTGCTGTGAGCCTGAGAAGTCAAAATAACAATGAGCTGAGCAGCACAACCACACAGTTAAGAAAAACCTTGTTCCTACAGGTCAAACTACAAGTTATCCTTTTGATTCTGGGAAATCTGATAAAATAAAGTGTTATTTAAGTAGGCTAGCAAACAGGTTTGAAGATTATTGAACCCTCATGTCATAAACCACTGAGATTTATTATTGGACCAGAGCCTATTCCACGATAGGCTATTGTACTGTGGAGCTCATTGGGTGCAAAACTGTTCCTTACTCACATCGCTGTAAATAAGGAAGTGTCACTCTGGAGACTTGGAAACAGTAAATAGCTTTTTTAAATATGGACATTTCTTAAACCTTTTTAATAATCTGTGGATTGTAAAAAGACTGATCTAATGTATTATTGGTGCAGATCATCAACATTCCTTCTATTAGAGTGTGTAAATTTACATTTGACTCACCATTGGTGTTCCACGCATATTTTTTTCGTTTTTAGTTACATTCTTATATTTTGATTTAAGCAACTCCACATTTAGCTTAATAGAAGTAACATTTATTAAACAATCCCCCTACTAGTAATTCATTTCTCCATCTCTAGCAACTGTAGCTTATTGAAAAAACATAAAAAAAAATTGCTTTGTTGCAGCTTTCCATGGAAAGACTCATAGCTATATTGGTCATATTTATCTGATTTGAGCTATAATGTGTTATATTAATGAAATGTACTTTATTTACAGTCAATAATAATAATGTATGGCTGTGATTGTAAAAAACTGGATTCACTCATCCTGAATGTCAGCTGTTGGTAAGGACAGGCGGCTGAGTGGCTGTCCAGGATCAGTGGACCCAGGCTGCCTGACAGATGTCAATCTGTCCAATAATGGCAGTGGCCAGAAGACACACAATCCACAGACACCCCTCATACTCTGGAGAAACACTGGACCATCAGTGTCACCCCCTATGTGTGTGTGGTATTGATTTGTGCATTGTACACAAATACTCTCCTATCTCAAACCAGTGGAACACAAAGTGTGTGCTGCATGTATGGGTGTCATCCTAAATCAGGGCTCTTATCTCCCGCTGTTGTTAACAAACTGTTAAGAGTATACTGTGTATTAATTTCTGGTATTTTTTGTGCAACAACATTGCTAAATCAAAGCAGACTGGCAAGCAAAGAGTACAATTTCCTGTAGTACGAAATCCACATTTTGTTTCACATTAAATAGTGGCCTTTTGCATGAGCTCAAGCAGTAGATGTTTGTATTTTGTCTGTGGATTTGTCACAGCTGTTTTTTTATGTTTCAACAAGAGAGCTTTGTGGAATGTTTTCAGCAGGATGATTCCAGGAACAAGAATATTTCAAACTCTGACTTTGTCTTTTCCAAAACAGTATATAAATACTTTTTCTTATCCTTGGATAGATCTAAGCATACCAGGAAGTCAAGACTGATTTGGTTTGGGTTATATATTGATGAATTGCAGCACATTAACAAGGAAACATAGAAGCACAGATGCTAGTCAGCTTGCTTTTTAATTCCTGTCATTTACTCCTTATTCTTGGGGGAGTTTTGGAATTGGATTTTTTTTATTACTGTGTATATCCACCAAATGTGGAATTGCCAACTGTTTAAAGACTAAAGGCAACACTTGCCCCCAGTCTGGAAAGAATGAAACATATTGACGCAATCCTCTGACACACCCGGCCCCAGAGCCATTCCCTCCACAGCACCAGGCAGGAGAGTTAGTTCCAACTGGAAGAGTGGTGTGTCTGTCAATGACATCACTGCAAGCCTGCGGGTGTCCTACCAGTCACAGGAGTTGCTACAACATAGAAAGCCAAGAGGACACAACCAAGCATGTGCTGCTGTTTGGGGAATCCCAGTCACAGCCGACAAGTCATGGTTTTCTGCACAGTTCTGCAGACTGAGAGGGGTGAGATGAATCTGTACAGTCAAAATCAAGTGGGACAGGTGAACAATCTTTAGATCTGTGCTGCTTTTCACATGGAATACATGTTCCGTTTCAAGAATAAATAGCCAGTAAATCTTAAAATTTGTAAAAAATATTAATATTTTAATACTATTAATGATATATATGCAAAACCAAATCAGTCCAAATAGTGCAAAACATGCCAATTTCCCAGTGTAAAAATACTTGTGTTATATTGTCTTCCAGGGGTCATGCTAATGTGTACACTTCAGTGGTTCGCTCTCTTGCCATCGTAATAAGTAGAATTAGGAGGAGAACTAGCTTTCATTTTTGTGACCTTCATGAAAGTTTTTTATTCCAAAAAAAGCATAAATCACAAAGTGTTCTATCAGTTGCTATTTTGGTATTTTCTTATTTACTTATATAAAAGGAGTAATTTCACTGTAATTGTCATAGTATTGAAAATCTTTCTTTTCAGAGAAGAGTGTTTTTAAGAGTGTTTTTAAGAGACAAAGCTCCTCCTGATGGGCTGATGGTTGTTTTTTTGAATGTTGGATGCTTGGTTGTTAACTGTGGGATATTGCCTCTCTCTATCAACGTGGATTCTGTTTTCCAGGGAACCCTGGCTATAGCCCTCGAAACAGAGCCATGGGGAAGCACAACGGCAACAACCTGGTGGTGACCAGTAGCCCCATGACGGTGCAGAAACTGGGGCCCATCTCTCCGATTTCCAGCCAGGCTGCCGTTCCAGTGCACTGTGCCAGCCATGGTCTCCAGCTGGCGTCCAACCCCACCGGTCTTGTCATCCCTCACTCCGACACCCGGTAGGACACCAGATTTAAGAATTGTCTTTTCCTGTTGAATTGAACACCGTTGGTCTACCACACAGATGGTCATCTCATCTTGTTCAACAAAGGCAGAATTTAAATGACCATGATAATTTTTATCTCTCACATATCTTTAAACCATTGTCCTTGAGGGCTATCCTTCCTGGTGTATCCATCCATCCCTTATCAGAATGTCTCTTATTCCTGGACGTATAGGGCACAAGTGACTACACTGTAGACATGATTGCAGTTCATCACAGGACACAGACAAGCGCATTCCCGAAAAAGACTTTGAAATCTAATTTGCTTCACTTTGCTTTCATTCATAGTGGAGACAATCACTTAGGAGCTTTCTGATATCTGGTATACCTTATGATGTTATAGAGGTTTAAAGTGAATAACAAGCAGATTCATTTAAATTACATTCAGGAAGGTCAGTGTTATCAAGAGCAAGAATATTCAAGCCAGCTCTTCTAAATATAGACTGTGGAACTTCTGCTCTTAATTGTAGATCTACATGATCTGTTGATGATGATGACGTGGAGTCAATTCTATTTCCTTTTAGCAGACAACGTACATCCTTTGTTAAGTTCTTTGCATGAGCTGGCATGCAATTTTATTCCTGAAACCAGATTGAAATGCCTTCAAAATTAATCTTCTATTGTTAAAGACTCCCTTAGCTGAAAACATAATGGCTTAGAGACAAGTTAAATGTGACATGTGATGAAAAAATGACCTGGGGAATTGGGATGAATAATAACAGGGCCACTTGTGGTGTTGACAATACTTAACGCTGGTTGGCGAGGTGTTACAGAAGGTCATTAACTACAAATGCCATAGAACTGAAAAATAATTTTCTAAATCTAATCTAGGTTTAAAACTGCTTTATGTATGTCCAACACAAAGTGACTTTTAAGATTATTTCAAATGTATTAAATTTGTGCTTTCTGAACAGGTCCTTGTCGAAGTATTGTTCTATATATCAGTTGTTAGAATTATAATTGTTTGCATTTTATATAGCGCTTTTCATCCCAAATAATCCCAAAGCACTTTATATATAGGAGAATATATACACATATGTACACTGAAATTTGTCACCATTGCCCCAGCAGCCCACTACACAGCAGATCGGGTGGAGGAGTGAGAAACTGCTTCACCAATTCAGTGAGGCCAGATTGTACTAGTACTGATACAATCCAGTAAACATTGTACTGGATTTTATTAGCACACCAGAGTTACCACTGCCACTATTACAAACAGTGCCATGGGACCTACACCGATCAAATAATTAAAACCTCAGTTTTAACATCTGCTGTAATCCGAAGACTGACGCCTCCTACAACACAGCGAACCCTATCACTGTACTGGGGCCCAGAATTAGAAATTCTCCTCTTGAGAGAAGCATTAGTGGGCTGCCTTCTGGCCCACCAGCACCACTTATAGCATCAGTCGTGTTTTCCTTAGAGGTTCCTAGGCCTGCTGTACACTTCCCTGTCTTCTGAGATTATTATATACAGTACTTGCAGAGCATGCACTTTTATCCAGGGCAGTTTACAAAAATGTACTGTACAAGCCACATGCAGACTCAGGAAACACTCGTTTACCAAAATGTATTCACAGTTTTCAACTCCCCGGTCCTTATGTAATAAACTGGAAGTTGTGAGTATGAAGGAGGGGCTTTATGATTACTGTCAGTTTCTGAAGGGTCTAAATTCTAAGAAGAAAAAAGTTAAGTCTTGACTCTTAAATGTTGTTTAAATGGTAAAACTCTTTGAGTGTAAACTCATTCAGAGTCGTGAGGTTTGCGATAGATGAAAGGCCTGTTTTCACAGTTGATTTATTCATTGTTGTCCAATAGGCCCAATCCTGTAGAAGGGCAGCCCTGGTAGAAGGGCAATGCCTCGCCTTTGTAGTCCCAGCTGTCCTGGCTTCTAGATGATGAGCCACAGCTGGGCGGGTCCTATACTGGACACCCCGAAGGGATGAGCAGGGATGCCCCCAGAAGGGGGAGTTTTATATCGACAGTCCCAGTGGGGATTGCGCCCGCGTAAGGTTTTCTTTTTCTTTTTGCCTGTCCCATCACACATTTCACAGGGGCAGGCACACACACACACGCGCACACACACACGCGCACACACACAGTTCTTGTTTTGTTTTTGCCTTACGCGCCCTGCTCTCCCAGACTGGATCCCGCTAAATATGGTAAGCCCAGCCTGGAGGTTATGAGGCACAGCGATTTTCTTCTTGCCTTTTTTGTTTATTTTTTCCACCCCTTTTTGTATTATTTCTGGTCCCTGCTTACCTCACACCGGTGTTTCCTTCCCCTCACCCGGGGCGTTGACTTTTTACCGGTGCTCGCCGCAGAGCCTCCCCCACCGCACTGTCACAAAAAGCAGAGAGGAACGAGAGACAAAAAATGGCACGGGTCTGTACTTTTTTAGGACAGGTACAGTAGAGTCAGTAAATACCATCTTATGTCACAGCAACATGCAAATTATATTTTTTTATACTCATTATTATACTCATTTTACACTCATTTTATACATATTATCCTCATTTTGTTGAGAGGGATGTACAAATGTACAAGTAATAATGTATGGATACAGTTAAGAGTGGATTTTTAGGCAGTTTGTACAGTATTATGCTGGTTCTGTGAACATTTCACTTCCCACACATCCCTGCTGCCAAAAACTAAGTTTGATGACAAAATGCTCAGTAAACCAAAGACTTCTATGAACTACGCGTGTTTGAGGGTGCAGACGCTTGAGAGGACAACCTGTGATCATGTTCTTCTCCTTGTGTGAGTTAAGTTGAACGTCAGTAATCACATGCCACCTTAAGAGACCAGGAAATGTCTTCTGCAATAATAACAAAGAAGCTGGAATGAATATGTTGTTTTTGTATAGAAGATAACCAAGATATTTGTAATCTGTCAGAAAACACGGTTACCACAAAACACAAATAAAATCAATAGGTTATAAAAAGCATTTATTTGTAATTAGAGCTGAACAGAAAATAGGGGGCAACCAGGAGAGAAACGCTAGGAATATGCAGTTTTATCTTCTATTATTCTTAAAGCAGAAAGTCAGCATTCTTAGTCTCAAAGTACTTTGCTCAGTACAGGCCCATCCCCCACCTCTCTGCTTTGATTGTTTCTTGGACATGTAATTATCTGGCAACAGCAGCAAAACTGCTTCACAAGACTAATTGTCTCCATTTCCCAGTGAGTCTGAGTAGAGAAGCCTGAACACTTGTTTCCTTTCCTAGTATATTCATGCAAAATCTGAGTTACCCTATAGATTGTGTTAAAGGAAGAGAAGTCGATGGTATGCCACTGTACCCAGAGCAGGTCACAGTCACACTCAGGAGAGCAGGAATTTCAATTATCTAGAAGTCAAGTGATGTGGTCAAAAATCCAGCAATGCCAAGGGCAGGCAGGACACATTTTTCTTACTGGCGTCATCAGTAAACATTACCACATTAGTCAGAAATGTTGGGATATGCTGCCTCAGCTGTGTGAATAAGTGGGTGTGTTTGAATCCACATGCTGAATTTGTGGAGCATGGCAAAATATGGATCTTGGGAAGCCATTTCTCCCAAAGGCTGGAATCACTATGTGCCTGCTGTCCCTTCCACACAGCCTCTGCAAAGGTCTGGTAAAAAACAAAGTTTGCAGAACACCTGCTGAATCAGAAAGTCCTATGTTATGGAATGTGTGTTGCCTCTAAAATAATGATCTCTGCTATGAATGGCAGAAGAGTTTTCACATAACTGGTTTGATGCCTGATGCCTTTTGAATTACTGCACATGAAGTGGATGACTAAGTTTTTTTTTCTCCAAAAAGCAGTATATTGGCGTTACAATTTTTGCATTGCACGCTATTAAAAACTATTAAATGAACAACACATCCTAAACTGACATTTTCATACTGCATACTGTTTCTCTTCTGTATGCTATACCAATGTGGAACCAACAGTTGCCAGCTCAGCACCCCATCACAGGCCTTGTCCTACAGTAGTGTGACAAGTGCATGAATCCTGTTACATGAGCACAATGGCCTTTCCTCTTTCCAGCACCTCCACAGTGCTGCAGCAGAGCTGGGTCTGAATGGGGCCTGAAGAGGTGCCTTCTTGATAGCACTGCAAACTCCGATGTGCTAGGCAAGCCACGGGGGTGCAAGCTAGACCCATCAGGTGCAGTGCTAGTCAGCTTGGTCACTGAGGGAATCTGTGGATACCCAGCCTGCCAGCCTTGTCTGTGCTGTGGTACAGACCTGAACATGCAATATGTGGGCTGTAGAGTTCTACCTATGCTTCTAATGAGCATAGGAGCTTTGCTTGATGGAGTGGAACATTAATCCAGGCTTCCCCTCGATTTCAGGTCCCTGGTGTCTCGAGGTTCCCTGGCATCCACTACCCTGAGCTTTCCTGAAAGGCAGTCCACCGCAGGAGTGAAGCAGGAGTGGCCATATGGCTATCGTATTCTCCCCTCCCTCCCCTCCCACCCCTCCCAGAAGGGTTCTCACAACGACAGCGAGCAGGGAGAATCTCTGAGCCTCCCCCCTGAAACAGCCATGTCTGGCACCAGCGTCTCCAACTCCTTACCTTCCTATCTGTTCAGTGGAGAGAACAGTTATTCACCGTTCCCCAGCCCCAGGCATTCTGCTCGCTCGCAGTCTGCCCGCTCCAAGAAGAGGGCGCTGTCACTGTCCCCTCTCTCTGATGGGATTGGCATTGACTTCAACACCATCATCCGCACCTCGCCCACCTCCCTAGTGGCTTACATCAATGGGTCCCGGGGCTCCCCAGCCAACATGTCCCCACAGCCAGAGGTCTACGGCCACTTCCTTGGGGTCAGGGGCAGCTGCATCCCCCAGGCCTGCTTAAACCCTGGTTCCCAACGGGGATTGCAGCTCCCAGGAGGAGGAATTCCCCTTCAGTCCTACAGCGAGCAGCCAGAAGCAGAGTACCAGAGGATGCAGGAGCTGGAGCAGGGCACTTTGCACTCCTCAGGCCACCTGAACAACATGGTGGTCCAACAGGGACTTCCTCCAGCAAACTGCCAGCCAGTGGGAGAAATGTGTAAGAGTGAGCACTTCAACGGCTTCTCCCCACACTTGCCCTCCATGGACATGTCTGCAACGCCGCAGGGCCCCCCGCCTCCATACCATTCACACCAGCACCTGCAGGCCCAGGACTTCCTAGGTCACTCCCAACAGCCCCTGAGCCACTTCCCTCACGGGCCTCCATCCTCCCAGCTGCTGGAGGAAGACGGGGAGATGGACGATCTAAGTGGGAGGCGCTGTTGTCATTGGATAGACTGCAGTGCCTCCTACGACCTGCAGGAGGAGCTGGTGAGGCACATCGAGAAGGTGCACATCGACCAGCGCAAAGGGGAAGATTTCACCTGTTTCTGGGCTGGCTGTCCGCGGAGGTATAAACCATTCAATGCCCGCTACAAGCTCTTAATACACATGAGGGTCCATTCAGGAGAGAAGCCCAATAAATGCACGGTAGGATTTTCCAACTCTTGTCATTTGCATTTGATTGACTTTCCTTTTGTCTTGGTATTATTTCAAATTCAACCCCTTAATCATCTGATAGTGCATTCATATAGGTGAAGGGTGCTCACTGATGTGAGTTTTAAAATGTCTTATTTTGTTTACTGCCCTTTGATAGCAGGTGAGTAAAAGCACTTATTAGTAAAGATGTGATGTGTTTGGAGAGTTAGGGAGGAGGTTATTGGTAGTGTGGGGGTCAACCAAAACAGATGTGCTTTTGGTAGCAGTCTGTGGATCTCTTCAAATACAATATTTTGCATAAGAAATCTCAATCAAGGATCTGAAATTGACCATTCCTTACAATGCTATTTTCCCAGGAAAATATATTTTACTTAGTGTACCTGAGTTTTTTTTCGCATTTAGTCTTATTTGCTTAGTTGTGTTTCTATATAAGTCAAATGCATGTCCAGGGTTTAACACTATAAACAACAAAAGCAAATGGACCAGTTTTCTGAATTCACATGGCTGTGATGCAGAATTTCTGATTATGTCTGAGGCAGTACTTAGTCATAGATTTGGTTGTGTGTTAGAGAGGTTTACTCTGTGGGTGAGTGAAATGCCTTGAGAATGTTTGCAACAAATAAACCTGAGATCATCTTTTTGACAGTATATATCCAAGTTATTCATGCTACCCTGTTGTTAGAATACAAAGACTGAGGCCCATATTAAATAAAAACATCAGTCATAAATGACTTGCTCAGTACTTGATGATGAAGGCATTTCCTCTGTCTAGGGGCACAAGTCCTGTAGTTTAGATTGAATCCAGGCATTACTAAAGGATTGAATAAACTGATTTTTTTCTTAATAAACTGTGATATGAGTGCGTATGTGGGTACCCTGTATGTTTAAAATGTGTATTGTTATTTTTAGAATATTTAGAGTTGTTGCATGACATGCTTCAAACTTTTACATTTGTCCAGTAGTTGGGAGTGAGATGTTTTGTGTGTCTGAATTAACAGGACATCCCAGTATTAGTGGCAGTGGCAGGCTATCAGTACTGTTGAGGGGCTTTTTCTTCTAATCCTGTCTCCACTAGGATGAGGATGTCACTTTTAACATGTAATGGTTTGATATTTATGAGGAACCCAGCAGCATAAACATCTTAGAGTAATAATGCTGTTGTTAGCTGCAGTGCGCTATTACTTAAAAGAGTTTTAAATGAAATAATACCTTACGGAGTTTTGTATTCCTGAGTAAGCACTAGGAGCTACCCGTTAATTACCAGAGGTCTGTAATAATTGACATATGAGTTAACTCAATTATGTAGTTATTAAATCAACACAAAGAGTTTCAGTAAAGCGTTGGCATGAAATCGTCTCGTTTGCTGCCATAATATATATCCAGCCGAGAGAGCTGTCAGAGCTGCCAGCGCTGACTTTTCTAATGATTTGTGCTGTTCCTCACATAGCCTCATGGAGGCTGCAAGGCAGCAAGGCGATGACTGGCACAGTGGAGGATGTGTTTCTCATCACAGGTCGCTTCTTATTCGGGGTTACTGGTGCGCCCTGTAACTGCCAGTTCAAGGGTTACAGAAAGAAGTCCTCATGTGGTTCGTATGTACCCTGGTGAAACGCACATTTGCTACTCTGAACTGACCCATCTGCATTATCATAGAGCATGACCTCATGTCCTAACGCATAACTTACCAATAGAGCCGTTTCGAAAAATGTACGCCATAAACAGAGTACCCACAGTATATTTACACCGAACTAGACCCACTGTTATAGTTTTTTTGTGTCTTTTTTTCTGCTCATCCACTGATGGGACAGTGAAGAGGAGCATGTTTTTAACTCTCAGATGAAAGGCATGAGTTTGCATTTTAAATCATTTATAATCACACTCCAGAACACGAATATTGGGAAAACGATCAAATCATATAAAACCGTCTGGGGGTGTGGACAAGGAAGTAAAGATAATGCTGTGGTGCTACTTTTTTGCCCTTTAAGTTTCTTGTACACTTTATACTGACAAAAAGAAAAGTGATGGTCTCACTAAGTGCTGTGGGATCACTAAGGCTGAATCTCACCTGAAGGTCTAAGTGCTGATATGCAGGAGCTGCGGTGGAAGTCTAGAGCAGACACAGAAACCAGTACCAGTAAGACCTACCATTAACACTGTATGACCTATGCCACTGAGATCACCTCATAGCCGGATATAATTAGTAAATAATCCTTACACTTATATAGTGCTTTTCTGGACTCCATTCAAAGGTCTTTACAGGTAATGGGGACTCCCCTCCACCACCACCAATGTGCAACATCCACCTGGATGATGCGACGGCAGCCATACCTGTAGATGGTTTAGATCTTATCTGGAAGTGGTCCCTGGCTCTTAATGAAAGGCCCGGTAAAAAGTGTTATCATGGCCGTTTCATATAATTTACCTATGAAGTGACAGGAGCTTCTGTAATAGAATTGGGGGCTTTCCTTTTTTCAGAGGAACTTGATAAAAGAGTGATAAGCCAGTTTGGGTACAGGAAACAGTGGATCAAGTGGATCAAGTGAGATTTGGATTTGGATTTGCAGATAAAAACTAATCATTTCTACTTTGCCTTTTGGTTAACTGCAGAAGCTCTCTGTAGAAAGGGCTGCGCTTATGATGCATGCAGACATTGAGAGTGATTCCTTTAGCAGCAGCCTCCAAGTAAAAGAAACTTGATGCCAGGTGGAAAATACTTCATATTGGTTAGAAAGTTGACCTGCTTGTGCACAGTGCAGAATGTGTTGTGGAAGGATTTGTGAACCTGCACAGGAAATAGGCTGGACATGTTTATGGATGAAAACACTCCTTGAATGAGACTAGTTTACTGGTCTATGAACTACGGGTTTACATAAGTATCTGCATACTGTATCACTTTAGATGTTTCTATGTTTCTCCACAGGTTATGATGACTATAATTGAATGGAGGGTTGAGGTGCTGTGGGTCTTGAAATAGCTCGTCTTTACAAAACATTTAGTTGAATCTCTTTTTAATTTGAGTTTTATATAAGTGTTGGAATCTATGCTGTAATTACAAGTTGTATGTACTTGTATGTAGCTGCTTGTAATGACTTGATGTTGTAGAATGCAGTGTACTGATTATGTGACATTGTAACATAATTGATTTTTCTTGTAATTACCGGCCTCAAATTCCAGGTGATAGTAGCAGTAGCTAAACTTAACACTTAACTTATTTATTTACCTATGAAATGTCATGTTTTAGCTGTCACTGGCCACAACACCTACTGTACAATGTCTCCTGCTTTTAAATCTTGAGAAGCACAAAGATTAAAATGGACTAGCCTTTACTGCTGGCAGCTCAGGTGCTGACACTGCATGTTTAAACTATATGGTTTGAGGGTACCATGTGTTTTGATTTACAAGATAATGAAATAATCAAAACAATTCATTCAGAAGTCATTTTTGTTGTCATGTACTGTATAATGACAGTCAGTCTTTTCCTTCTGTTTATTTGTTGAACCTGTGCAGGACCCAAGCTAAATACCTCAGCTAAATGGAGCTAGAATTCTTTCAAAGAGGTCTGATGTTAGTTGGAATTATTAAGTAAGTGGAATATACTGTACAGGAGATGGGAAGTGTACAGCTATATCATTATAAAACTTCCAGAGGGTAAAAAGGGACACAAAAATCTTTCTGTTACTTTTTGCTATCCCAATCATTGTAAGATCTTTGTTCACTGAATCCAAAAATCTGTGGTAAAATGTGCAGAAACAAGAACCCTATGTAGTACATGGAACAGTCAGACTGGAGCCCCCTTGTTTGGATGATCCCTTAAGAGCTGCCATTTGTCATCTTCTTTCTGGTTGGATCTTGGTTTCTCAGATGAGTAAGAGTCTAGGAATCCCGCTGCCCGTGTCTTTGTTATTGCCCTGCGCTTGTCGATCATTAACAATTCAAATACCTGTGGTCAGCCTTTCAAAGAAAAGCTAACTTATTACTGAGACGAATCATCATGTTGCCATGGAGACCTGAACTTATGAATTGTTTTACACACTATGTAATTGTAAAGTAAAGTGAAAAATATTTTAGAAATCTGATTTGCCAAACTATTACTCAAGCAATACCCTATATTTACGGCTGACTGCCACCCAGCTATTGGCAGGGGTGACTGGAGATGAACTCACAAACGTCTAAGGATATTGGAGCATAAGAGAGGAGGAGAACAGGGAAAATGCTAATTTATTTTCTGACTTTTCTGCTTTAGTTCCTCTGAAGGAGGTTCTAAAGCTTTTTTTCTTCAGTGTGCTGTGGTGGTGCAAGGCTGTCACTACCAAATAGTGAATATTGACTTTGCTGCTGTATATACAGTACATCATGGTGCACTGCTACTTGAGTTTTTTTCTAATCTTGTTTAACATGTCCATTTTATTCTCATCTTTATGGTACGGTTAGGCCAAATTAAAACAAAACTTCCAGGTTCAATAATGTGCTGAAGTCCAGTTGCACCACAGCATACTGTATGTTTGTAATTGAGTTTGTTATTTAATTCTCTTATTAGTGCAAAGAAACGCTTGCACAAATGTCAGCTGCATATTATGGAACACAGCAGTAATCTTGCATTTTATAAACTGTACGTGTAAAGTTCATACAATTAGTTTGCAGTAGTTCTTGTTTATTCATTCTGGCTTCTAGGCTTTAAACAGTGATTATAATCATTAACTTCACATATCTTTTATATCTGGTTAGAACTGATTGATCTTTCCTGATAGTATTTCAAAAACTTACCATCCAATCCATGGAGTGGCACCTAGTCTTTCTCATTTGCAAATGTTTTGGATATTAATATTAACTCCAATTAATATTTGGAATTAGATATCAATTCCTATCGTGTTGCATGCAAAGTGAAGTAGCGTTAATGTCATGCTGGGTCTGTAACAGTCTACTGTCACATCTGTTCCCCGGCTCCCAGTGGTGCTCTCCTAGACTAGCATGGACAGGCAGAGAGAGATGAT